CTGTCTGTGTGTCTCACTGTCCGTGTGTCTCACTGTCCGTGTGTCTCACTGTCCGTGTGTCTCACTGTCCGTGTGTCTCACTGTCCGTGTGTCTCACTGTCCGTGTGTCTCAGTCTGTGTGTTCCTTCATTTCACCATATCACACTGTCTCGCCGTCTGTGTGTCTTGCCGTGTGTCTCGCCATTCAGTGCTTCTCAATGTCTGTGTAACCAATTTCATAGTGTCACAATGCATGTCTCGATCAGTGTCTGTGTCTTTCTTCATTTCATTTTGTCAAACTACACGTCTCAGTGTTACCCTGTCACTGTGCAGGTCACCTTCACTGTTTATTCATTGCATGTCGCTCGATATGACTAAATCTATCTAATTCTCTTTATTTCTGCAGATTCTTACAAGACCCGCAGCAGCCAATCAGAATTTTCCATATCATGTCAGAACATCACAGGTGAGTAGTCGGTGAAATAAGTTTGGAAATAAAATTTTTGTTGATATGAGTAACATTATGGACTGTATTATCAGCCTATGACTCCACAAGTATCAAACAGCTCCACAAATAAGTGATATCAGGTGATAGATCATAAAATCATATGCATGTTTATGAGTGTTGGTGAATGCACATTCCAGTTACAACCTTATGCTTATCGACAGAAATTTTAGCAATATTTTTCAAATCGAAAGTCAAATATGGCAGCTATAAAAATGCTACTATCACATGATTTGGTTATCTCTGCTTATTGTCAAGCATGCTCAGGGACAACGTCAAAAGATCGATGTCGGATAAAAAACTTATTATAATATTTGCTTTTATTTTTCAATAAATTAAAAAAATCTTGGAGTATTTGTAGTTCATTTTTTTCTATCTAATCATGGACAGAAATAACAGAAAATGAAAAAAACACACATCTAAGACGAGAAAATAGTTTGGTTTGAATGTAAATATGTGTGTCAAATGAGGTGCATTTGTAAAGTCTTTTTACACCCACCCGACAACCAACTGCTATGCAATACTACTGTCCGATTATCAATTTGTATTTAATGGTGAATGTAGTCATCAATTAAGTTTCAGTGGATGGGTGGGGGGGGGGGGTT